GCCGAGCCCCGCCCTCACCGAGCTCCTCTCTCGTGAAGGGCAGGAAGGTCGCGTCCTCATTGAGGTTCTTGTTGAAGTCGATGCACAGGAGGCTGAGCTGCTTTTTGATGCTCTTGATTTTCTACAGGGGGGGAGGCTGTGATGAGGGCGCGGGTGAGCCCCCAGGGCACTCGCACCCCGAGGGATGCCTCGAGCCCCCGGCTGGGAGGAGGGGCAATGGGAAGCTGGGGCGGGGCCAGACGTGCAGCATCAGAGCGAGGGACCCTCCGGGCGGTCCCCTCACGGACCCAGGGCCCTTGTGGACGTGCCCTCGGGAGCAGCCTGGAGCGGCCGGCGGGTCCTTCCCAGGCATAGTTGCAGAGGGGCTTTTGTTCACAGGGCCGCTGTGAGTCATGCCTGGGTCAAAGGCAATCATCAACAACAACAGTGAAGGACGTGGGGGAGGGACGCGGGGAGGGGGCATTCCATCACAAGACCATGAGCTTCGTGAAGCTCCCAGAAGACTCCTGGCTGGCTGTGCCCTCAAACTTCCTGCCATGTGGAGGTGGCCACGAGGGGCAGGACGGAGTGGCACTGCCCACCCCCACGCAGGAGCCGGTCCCCACGCACGCTCTCCCGTCCTTTCTCCCCATGATGAGCTATGACAACGGCTCTGAGGCCACAGCAGAAAATGCCACCAAAAAGAACTGGGAGGGTCCTAGTGTGTCACCCTAAAGATGGACATGGGGAGGGTCACACAGTATCACGCTGAAAGGCATGGGAGAGGGTCCTGTGGTGTCATCCTGAAGGACAGTGTGGGGGAGGGTCCCCTGGTGTCACGCTGAGGCCAGCCCTGGGGCCATGAGTGCTGAACCTGTGCGCCAGCCTCCCGGCTGCAGCCTGTTAGCTTGGGGGTGGGGGACACACATGCCATGAACAAAGGATGAGCTGGGGCCAAAAGGAGGCACTTCTGGGCTGGGCAGGCTGCTCAGAGAGCCTCAGAGGACCTGAAGCGGCAAGGCCGGGCCCAGCAGTTTCCAGAGACGAGGGGATGCAGGTCTGACCAGAGACGCTGTCCTGTAAAGCAGGGGCCTGGGCAGGCCACCATCCCGAGCGCCCCTGTGCAGGCGGCCGGTGAGGACTGATGGAGCTGGGGGACGTGTGTCCTGGGCCTCCGCCTCTCAGGAGGCCTCCTCTGGGGCTGGACTCAGGAGGGAGGAGTCAGGCACATGGCTGTTCTGGGAAGAGCACTCTGCCCAGACCTCGGGTGCTCAGGGAGCAGCAAGACGGTGCTGAGTCCAGGGTTCAGTCCCCTGCTGGGCCGGGGGGGATGGAGAGAACGCACGCAGCCCCCCAACGAGCGGCCTGACCCACCTCCTGGGTCTCCTCGGGCAGGTGCAGCCCGTTCCTCCGGCCGAGCTTGATGAGCCGCTCCAGGTACCGCCGGGCCTCAGGCCGCAGTGCGTCCTTTTCCACCTTTTCCTAGAACAAGAGAATCAAAATTCAGCTTCTGTAGGAAAGGGCAAAGTCAGATGCCAGGGAGGCCACGGAGGTGGGCTGCCAGCAAGTGCAGGCTGGGGGAGGTGGGCTGGTGGCGTCTTTACAAATGAAACCTGCTTCCTGAAACCCACAGCGTCCCTTTTCAGCAGCAAGTAGCTAAGAGAATACGCCATCCCCTTTTCCTTATGAATCAGGGTGAAGTCTCTCTCAGGGAGGAGTGATAGGGAATGGCAAAGGACACACTGACAAAGGAGATGAATCAGAACTGGCTTTGACAAGCACTGTGGCATTTGGACAATTAAAAGACTTTTAAGGGGGGAAAAAAAGAAGAATGAACTGGGGAGGAGGGTAGAGAAAATAGTGCAACAATGAATGAACGAAAACCCAAAATCTCTGTAAATGTTCATTAAAATTAATAAAATTTAATAATTTAAAAAAAAAGACCCCACCAAAAACTGGGGGAAAAAATAAAAAAACAAACAAAGAAATGAAACCTGCTACCGCCATCCAACCCAGCCCACAGGCGGTGATCAGAGGCCACGCTTGGCCCAGCCCCTAACGGGAGGCTGCGGAAAGGCTGAAACACTGGGTGAGATGACAGGAACAGGCTGGGCGGGCGGCCAGTGTTCACACAGGAGCCGGCACTCACTCCAGCCTCGTCAAGTGCCCCCACAGGGGAAACCAGGTTCCGTGCATACAGGACCTTGAGCATTACATCTTATGACTACATATAAATCTACACTGTCTACAAATCTCCATATGAAACCGTTTCTGCTTTCACAGGCCACCCCCTGGCCACACTGCACTACAGCTAAGTAGCTGCCGTCCCAGGCTGAGAGGCGCCTGTGAGCCTCGAGCTGCGAGATCGCTAACGGGGTCCCGCCATCATCCAACACCAGTGTGAGCCCAGGGCGGGTGGGAGGAGCACCGCTGAGCACCACTGAGCTCAGTTCTCGGAGGCCTCGGATGCCACCTCTGGGTTCACAGGACGGAGTCACAGGAGGTGGGACATGTGAGGGAGAAGGAGGAGGGGAAGAGGGAAGAAAAGGAGCAGGAGGAAGAGAAAGAAAGAGGGGGAGGGGAGGAGGAGGAAGAGGAGGAGGGGAGGGGAGGGAGGAGGAGGAGGGGAGTGGGGAGGAGGACGAGAGTAGCACTTTGGTAAAATCTCCCAGGCATCGCCATCCAGTTCTGACAAGGGGTCATCAGTGGCTTCACAGCCTGGCCTCGCACCCAGGTGTGTCCCCAACATGTGCTCCAAGCCCTGATCCTCTGGCCCCACATGCACCCTGATACGCCCCTGCACCCCACCTGCAGCCAAACAATCCTCTGGTACACGTCCTGCCGCATGCTCATCTCCACATCGAACTCCGACAGCTTCTTGTCGGCCTCGGTGCTGGCCGTGCGGATGTCTTTGGACGGGGAGACGTGCTGGGGGAAATCCAGGATATTCCTCTGAACTGAAACAGGCAAGACATCGAAACAGGTGTGAGAGTGCGGCCTAGGGGGCCACGAACACGCGAACGCTCAGCCCCAATCCCACATGCTCTGTCCCAGCGCTGGCTGGACAGCAGAGAGGCCCGGGACCCGACAGTGGGCCGGCTGGAAATCAACAATGACAACTGCAGACCGCTGAGGAGGGGAGGCTGACGACGTCCATGGTGAATGGGGGGAATGTGGGGAGGACTACCACTCAGGCCCGTGAGACGGGCAGCAGAGAGACACCGCACATGACAAGTGAGGGAAAGTGAGGCCCAACTTGGGTCAAGCTGGACTATGGAGCAGACTTAGCCAGGACTTGGCTCTGTACACGCCGGCCTTGGCACACAAATCCCCCTCCCTGGGCACACACACATTCCTCCCTGGGTTCACACGGCGCACACAAGTTCCCTTCCCCGGGCTCACAACTCCCTATCCTCAGGCACACACACGTCCGCCTCCCCAGGCACACACCTTCCTGTCCTTGGGCACACACATGTCCTGAGAGTGGGCATGTTCAGCTGGGTTGACAGCTCAGTCCAGGGGTAGCACATGGTCTCAGGGAGATGTGAGGCCCCTTCAGCTGGGCTCTGAGGGCCCAAGGAACCCAAGTTTGTCAGAGTTCTGGGACAGGGGCTGTCCTTGCTCAGAGCTGTCTGTGGGGTCTCCCTGTCTGGCCCACCATGGGGATGAGGGCAGTTCCACAGCTGTCATCATTGACTTCCCCAAGTTCTCCCTCCTCACGCCAAGGAGAAGGCTCGTGTCATGGCTCAGACCTGGGGACAGGTCAGCATTTGGAAATGGAGGTTTTAGCAGGTTTCATTAGTTAAAGTCACATGGATTGTGACAGCACTGAGCCAGCGACCAGTGTCCTGATGCACAGGGGCCCTGAATATGTGAAGATGGACTCAGAGCTTGAGTGAGCATGTACAAGCCAGGGGCTCCTGGAGGACCGTGGGGACCACAGCCTGAGGACCGCGGGGACCACAGCCTGAGGACCGCGGGGACCACTGCCTGAGGACCGCGGGGACCACTGCCTGAGGACCATGGGACCACAGCCTGAGGACCGCAGGGACCCTGTGGACTTCCGCCTCCAGAGCTGGAAGTGATCTGTTTACGGCTGGGACTCTGGAGCCCCACTATGCAGACACCTGAGGGCATCAGGTAACTTCAGTGCAGGGTGCGCTGTGTGAGGAAACGGGGCAGCAGCCAACTGCAGAAAACAGATAGCCCCGTGAGGAAGGAGGTCAGAGCGGCCAGGCTGGGCAGTAACTGGAGCCGGCTCAGCGGAGGGGTCTGTTCAGACAGGGTTTCCAGTTTACAGCTCTGGGGTGTCAGGACTGGCCAGTGTGCTGGAGCAGAGAAGGGCAGTGGGATGCAGGGGGCACACCAGTGATGTCTTGACATCTCCCACCTGCTAGGTGCATTACATACGTCACTGTGTTTGCTCTTCCCCAACATCTGGGAGCAGGGCCCCTTCAACACACTGAGGAGGAGGAGCCGTCAGGCAGGACAGACAGTGACAGA